ACACAGGTACACACACAGGTACACACACACAGGTACACACACACACAGGTACACACACACAGGTACACACACACACAGGTACACACACACAGGTACACACACACACAGGTACACACACACACAGGTACACACACACACAGGTACACACACACACAGGTACACACACACACACAGGTACACACACACACACAGGTACACACACACACACACAGGTACACACACACACACAGGTACACACACACACAGGTACACACACACACACAGGTACAACACACACACAGGTACACACACACAGGTACACACACACACAGGTACACACACAGGTACACACACACACACAGGTACACACAGGTACACACACACACAGGCACACACAGGTACACACACAGGTACACACACACGCACAGGTACACATACACAGGTACACACACACACAGGTACACACACAGGTACACAGGTACACACACACACAGGTACACACACACACGTAGACTTTGGCGACCAATATTATCCATAAGGGGATTGTTTTTGGGATTAGATCGCGCAAATATAAAACACGCGACCTCTACGATGGTTGTACATCCGTCGCATGCTGTAGCTGGGGGGGGGGGGGGGGGTGACACGCTGGTGTTCGCCTGTGAGGCAGTGCTCTGGAGGCCGGGATTGGTGGATCACGCAGAGATTCGTCAAACTCCCAACCCACTGGGGCTGCGAGGCGCCCTGGAGATGGGCAGTCCACAAAGTGGTCTCTGGAATCCATCACGTGCAGAAGCTACACAGATTGGCCAAACATCCTCAAGCAGGATGCTCGTTCTACAGAGTCTTGAAACTCCTTGGGGCTTTTCTGGATACATCAGAGGGAATTGTTGCTGATTTTCTGTCCATCTGTTTATCACCCATATGGAAGCAAACGAAATGTTGAAGCAGTCTATATAATTCAACGCTTTAAAGCTTGCTACTTATCAAGTCACACACGAGGTGCGTGGTGGAGTGGTAGTAGTGGCGGCAGTGGTTACCGCACAGTAATATTGAACCGGCGAGTTGAGTTCAATTCCCAGCGATGGTCAACATCAGTGACAAGTGACATCTGAACTGGTCCTGCCCCAACCTGTCCCTGGCCAGCACGGCGAGGCGTGGTCAAGCAGGCCGCGTGGCTGACGCGGCATGGGGAGGGCCCTCATCCAGGCAACACCCTTCTCAAAGTGGGTTGACAGAGGACTGTCAATGAGAGTTGTGTCAATGTTCATTAAAAACAATGATCCACATTCTTGTTTGTTTGGGGTAAGGCAACCCGTGGTGGCTTCAATGCCAAAATTATTGCCGTCACCCCCCCTCTCACACCCGACAATATTGTCACGAATTGCATAATCATCACGTGGTAGCAGCACGTGACTAAGAACTCGAGTTGTTATTGATACCGCACCACGTGCGCGCGTCCTCCCCCCTCCCCCTCCTCACCTTGTACACGTTGACGGGCATGTCTACGACGATGTAGAAGAGGTCTCCGAGAGCAAGGCTGGCGATGAGGACGCTGGCCTCGTCGCGCATCATCGACTTGTCCCCGTAGACGACGAGCAGCAGCGCCGCGTTGCCGACGCTCCCCACGAGGAAGACGACGCTCGCCACGGCCGCGTTGACGCGCTTGAAGACGTGGCCCACGCCGCTCTGCGCCAGGCACGGGGGCGGCCTCCCGCCAGCTCTGGGTCCCGGTGGGGACGCCGAGAAGGAGGAGAAGGAGGAAGACGGAGGAGGAGGAGAGGACGAGGCCATCGCTGGACTGGTCGCGGGGATGGTCTGGGCGTCTGTCCCCTGGGACTGCTCTAAGGGTGCAAGTGACGGTGGGGTTCCTTGGCCGTGTACCGAGGCCAAGCCGACCAGGGTGGCCAGGCAGAGGCACAAGAAGGTGGACGTGAGCCTCCTAGGGGTGGACATCGTGGTCGAGGTGGCGGTGTGCGTGTGTGTGGTCGCGCTGGGTGTGAACTCGTGTCCACGTGCTCCTCCTGCTGATCCTCCCGGGGCAAAGTTCACTTGGCGTGCAGCTTCCGGGTGAACAATTTTTTTTTTAGAAATATTAACCCCCCCCCCCACGCTTTCATCTTCTTGGCTCTTTCGGTGAAGTCGCGTAGAAGAGAAATAAAAAAATTATAAAAAGACAACAATAAAAAAGTATTTTATTATTATTTAATTATTTATTCTATTTTTATTTTATTACTATAATGTAAAGTTTTATTTTTATTCTTTTATTATTTCCCTTCTACGTGATGACTTTACCGAAAGAACCAAGAAGATGAATCCCTGCAGTCACGAAAACTTTAAATCAAACCCCCCCCCCCCACGCTTTAATTAAATGTTACTGTCCCAGATGCCCCCCCCCGTGCCCCCCCCTTCCCCCATCGCCCCTCCCCCTCCTGCCTTCCCCCCTCCCCCCCCGTGCCCCCCCCCCCTCCCCCCCCGTGCCCCCCCCCCTTCCCCCATCGCCCCTCCCCCTCCTGCCCCCCCCGCCCCTCCCCGTGCCCCCCCCCTCCCCCCCCCCGTGCCCCCCCCCTTCCCCCATCGCCCCTCCCCCTCCTGCCTTCCCCCGCCCCTCCCCGTGCCCCCCCCCCTCCCCCCCCGTGCCCCCCCCCTTCCCCCATCGCCCCTCCCCCTCCTGCCCCCCCCCGCCCCTCCCCGTGCCCCCCCCTCCCCCCCCCGTGCCCCCCCCTTCCCCCATCGCCCCTCCCCCTCCTGCCCCCCCCCGCCCCTCGGCGCGGCTGCTCTGAGGATTCAACAACAGACGGAGTTTGTTAAATAATAAAAGCGTGTAATAAACGGACAATAGTTTGAGTGTTTTTAAATCCTTTATATTAAGTTCACTTGCTTGAATCTTAATTATGGAGCTTTCGTGACTGCAGGAATTATTCTTTGGTTCTTTCGGTTAAGTCACGTCTAAAGATAAAATAATAAATTAAAATAAAAGCATATTACGACGTTTCGATTGCAACACAAGCAATCATCATCAGGCAAAAAAAGAAATAGCAACAAAAATCTAACTAGAAAACTGCTTGTGTGTCTGTCTACAGTTTTCTAGTTAGATTTTTGTTGCTATTTCTTTTTTTGCCTGATGATGATTGCTTGTGTTGCAATCGAAACGTCGTAATATGCTTTTATTTTAATTTATTATTTTATCTTTAGACGTGACTTAACCGAAAGAACCAAAGAATGCACTTGCTTGCTTGCTTAGGACCGTGCAAATCTTTCGGTCGTTTTTTAACCCACTTCCCGTGATCCAATCGAGCTGACATTTTGCACACAGACTCGTTGTGCGAGACAATTAATGTTCGTTTTTTACACTGTTTAGGGAAAACAAATTCAATATTTAATTACCAATTGCTTAATACTGCAGACAATCATCTGACCCATAGGTGGCAGCCATCTCAAGCCAGAGGACGAGAGGACTCTAGCCGCCACGCATATAAAGGATTTATAGTGAAGAACTTAGTTTTTACGGGTTATACTTGTTGTCAATATAAATAACATGAATTTACATTTAAGCGCGTTTGTAAGTCGGGGTGTTCGTAAGTGGAGGAGTTCATTGACAGACTGACTTTGTGGACCGAGGGGGAAGCCCCCCGCCCCCAACAGGAGGGGGGGGGTGATGAGCCGGAAGTGAGGGGGGGGGGATGATGAGCCGGAAGTGAGGGGGGGGGGGATGATGATCCGGAAGTGAGGGGGGGGGGGATGATGAGCCGGAAGTGAGGGGGGGGGGGGATGATGATCCGGAAGTGAGGGGGGGGGGTGATGAGCCGGAAGGGAGGGGGGGGGATGATGAGCCGGAAGTGAGGGGGGGGGGATGATGAGCCGGAAGTGAGGGGGGGGGATGATGAGCCGGAAGTGAGGGGGGGGGATGATGAGCCGGAAGTGAGGGGGGGGATGATGAGCCGGAAGTGAGGGGGGGGGGGATGATGAGCCGGAAGTGAGGGGGGGGGATGATGAGCCGGAAGTGAGGGGGGGGGATGATGAGCCGGAAGTGAGGGGGGGGATGATGAGCCGGAAGTGAGGGGGGGGGGATGATGAGCCGGAAGTGAGGGGGGGGATGATGAGCCGGAAGTGAGGGGGGGGGATGATGAGCCGGAAGTGAGGGGGGGGGGATGATGAGCCGGAAGTGAGGGGGGGGATGATGAGCCGGAAGTGAGGGGGGGGGATGATGAGCCGGAAGTGAGGGGGGGGGATGATGAGCCGGAAGTGAGGGGGGGGATGATGAGCCGGAAGTGAGGGGGGGGGGGATGATGAGCCGGAAGTGAGGGGGGGGGATGATGAGCCGGAAGTGAGGGGGGGGGATGATGAGCCGGAAGTGAGGGGGGGGATGATGAGCCGGAAGTGAGGGGGGGGATGATGAGCCGGAAGTGAGGGGGGGGATGATGAGCCGGAAGTGAGGGGGGGGATGATGAGCCGGAAGTGAGGGGGGGGGATGATGAGCCGGAAGTGAGGGGGGGGGATGATGAGCCGGAAGTGAGGGGGTGAGCCGAGTGGGGGGGATGATGAGCCGGAAGTGAGGGGGGGGATGATGAGCCGGAAGTGAGGGGGGGGGATGATGAGCCGGAAGTGAGGGGGGGGGATGATGAGCCGGAAGTGAGGGGGGGGGGATGATGAGCCGGAAGTGAGGGGGGGGGGATGATGAGCCGGAAGTGAGGGGGGGGGATGATGAGCCGGAAGTGAGGGGGGGGGGATGATGAGCCGGAAGTGAGGGGGGGGGGATGATGAGCCGGAAGTGAGGGGGGGGGGGGATGATGAGCCGGAAGTGAGGGGGGGGGGATGATGAGCCGGAAGTGAGGGGGGGGGATGATGAGCCGGAAGTGAGGGGGGGGGGATGATGAGCCGGAAGTGAGGGGGGAGGGCGGGGGGGTGCAGGGGGGGGGCTGAAGGTGAATGGAGACGAGGCGAGGGGTGAGGGGGGAGGGGCGCACAGGCGGCGTCTTTGCCAGGTGCTGCTGCTGCTGCTGCTCAAGTATCTGCACTCGCTGCGGCCTCTCACAACGGATCGTCAGGGACGTCTCGTGCGCTCCTACAGAGGTCTGACCCCACCACCCTCCTCCCCCTCCTCCTCCCCCTCCTCTCTCTCTCTGCGCTCTGTCTCCCACGCTGCCGCTGCCGTCTTTGTCCTGATGTCGAGGGTAAATGGGCGAGATTTAGGACTGTGACTCATGCAGCAGCAATGGCTGCTTTGGGTACGCGGTCCAGACCTCCCCAGAAACCCTGGCTGACAGAGGAGGTGTTCAGGTTAATTGAGAAAAAGCGACAGGCCCACTCTCATCGCCTACAGCATCCCACGTCAGAGAATGAGGAGGTTTACCGCAGCCTTCGCTCGGAGGTTCGGAGAGCCGTGAGGCGCTGCAAGGATGGGTGGTGGTCGCGGGTTGCTCAGGAGATGGAGTCTGCCTCAGTGGCCCGCGATCACAAATCTTGTTAATTCCATCTATCACCGTCATTAGGGGGAAAAACGGTTTGCAGATTTGCTGAGCATTTCTGTGAGGTAGACTGTGTACACAGATACAGTATATAATGTAGACTGTACACACAGATACAGCCTATAATGTAGACTGTACGCACAGAACAGTCTATAATGTAGACTGTGTTCACATATCTACAGTTTATAATGTAGATTGTGTACACATATACAGTCTATAATGTAGACTGTACACATAGATACAGCCTATAATGTTAACTGTTTACATAGAGATACAGTCTTTAATGTAGACTGTACACACAGATACAGTCTACAATGTAGGGTGAATGAGTGGGTGGGTGAGTGGCCGAGTGAGTGGGTGGGTGGGTGAGTGGGATGTGGGTGGGTGAGTTCGTGGGTGAGTGACTGGTGGGGTAGTGACTGGGTGGGTGAGTGACTGAGTGGATGGGAGAGTGACTGAGTGATTGGGTGGGTGAGTGAGTGGATGAGTGGGTGAGTTGGTGGGTGAGTGGGTAAGTGGGTGGGTGAGTTGGTGGGTGGGTGGGTGTGTGAGTGGGTGGGTGGGTGAGTGGATGAGTGGGTGAGTTGGTGGGTGAGTGGGTGGGTGAGAGGGTGGGTGAGTGGGTGGGTGGGTGGGTGTGTGAGTGGGTGGGTGAGTGAGTGAGTGAATGAGTGGGTGAGTTGGTGAATGAGTGGGTGAGTTGGTGGGTGAGTGGGTGGGTGAGTGAGTGGATGAGTGGGTGAGTTGGTGGGTGAGTGGGTGAGTGGGTGGGTGGGTGAGTGGATGAGTGGGTGAGTTGGTGGGTGAGTGGGTGGGTGAGAGGGTGGGTGAGTGGGTGGGTGGGTGGGTGTGTGAGTGGGTGGGTGAGTGAGTGAGTGAATGAGTGGGTGAGTTGGTGAATGAGTGGGTGAGTTGGTGGGTGAGTGGGTGGGTGAGTGAGTGGATGAGTGGGTGAGTTGGTGGGTGAGTGGGTGAGTGGGTGGGTGGGTGTGTGAGTGGGTGGGTGAGTGAGTGAGTGAGTGAATGAGTGGGTGAGTTGGTGGATGAGTGGGTGAGTTGGTGGGTGAGTGGGTGGGTGAGTGACTGAGTGGATGAGTGGGTGAGTTGGTGGGTGAGTGGGTGAGTTGGTGGGTGAGTGGGTGGGTGGGTGAGTGAGTGAGTGAGGGGATGAGTGGCTGAGTTGGTTGGTGAGTGACAGTGAGTGGGTGGGTGAGTGACTGTTTTTTACATGGTTAACATCTTTCCAATGATTACTCGAAAGCGATACAAAGACTCCCTGAAGAAGTCCCTCACTGCTTGCTGCATCGATCACCGTCAGTGGGCAACACAAGCAGCTGATCGCAACTCCTGGCGGCACACAGTCCACCAGGCCACCTCCTTCTTCGAAGATACCCGCAGGGCCCGTATGGAGGACAAAAGGAGGAGGAGGAAGAACCATGATCCCTCAGCACCCATCCCAGATGAGACCTATACTTGCAGCTGTTGTGGCAGGACCTGCTTGTCCCGCATAGGCCTCTTCAGCCACCAGCGTGCCTGCAGAAGACGTGGATGTCCTTCCTAGATCTTCGTTCGCGAAGCCAAGGCATGATGATGGGGGTGAGTGGGTGGGTGAGTTGGTGGGTGAGTGGGTGAGAGGGTGGGTGAGTGGGTGGGTGGGTGGGTGAGTGGGTGGGTGAGTGAGTGAGTGAATGAGTGGGTGAGTTGGTGGATGAGTGGGTGAGTTGGTGGGTGAGTGGGTGGGTGAGTGAGTGGATGAGTGGGTGAGTTGGTGGGTGAGTGGGTGGGTGAGTGGGTGGGTGGGTGTGTGAGTGGGTGGGTGAGTGAGTGAGTGAATGAGTGGGTGAGTTGGTGGATGAGTGGGTGAGTTGGTGGGTGAGTGGGTGGGTGAGTGACTGAGTGGATGAGTGGGTGAGTTGGTGGGTGAGTGGGTGAGTTGGTGGGTGAGTGGGTGGGTGGGTGAGTGAGTGAGTGAGGGGATGAGTGGCTGAGTTGGTTGGTGAGTGACAGTGAGTGGGTGGGTGAGTGACTGTTTTTTACATGGTTAACATCTTTCCAATGATTACTCAGTTTGTACTCATCATCACGGTAAAATATTTAACTACACATATTTGTACCATCTTATTTGACAGGTACTATTCTACTTTCCGAGTGTAGACATCCCCCGCGTTTAACAGTACTGCCTTTTTAAATCCTTAATATAAAGTTCACTTGCTTGCTTGCTTGCGTGCTTGCGTGCTTGCTTGCTTGCTTATGACCATGCAAATCTTTCGGTCGTTTTTTAACCCACTTCCCGTGATCCAATCGAGCTGACATTTTGCACACAGACTCGTTGTGCGTGACAATGAATTTTCGTGAAATTTTTTTTCCAAAATTTTACACTGTTTAGGGGAAAAATTTAATATTTAATTACCAATTGCTTAATGGTGGCAGACAATCATCTGACCCATAGGTGGCAGCCATCTCAAGCCAGAGGACGAGAGGACTCTAGCCGCCCGTTTCATGATGACGCAAATGTTGACTAACCACATGGCATGAAATCCCTGCCCCCACGCTGTACACTGGAGACTATTTATAGAGCAGTTACATTGAAGCCGCCAGGTTCTTGAAAGTGGTAAAACGGGTCAACGCTAGTGCCCTCGGGAATATACGGGGCATGTCAAGAGGTGATCTTACATATAAAGGATTTATATTGAAAAACTTTGTTTTTAAGGGTTAATTTTTAAATCCTTTATATTAAGTTCGCTTGCTTGCTTAGGACCGTGCAAATCTTTCGGTCGTTTTTTAACCCACTTCCCATGATCCAACCGAGCTGACATTTTGCACACAGACTCGTTGTGCGTGACAATGCATTTTCGTGAAAAAAAATATCCAAAATTTTACACTGTTTAGGGAATTTTTAAAAAATATTTAATTACAAATTGTTTAATGCTGCCAGACAATCATCTGACCCATAGGTGGCAGCCATCTCAAGCCAGAGGACGAGAGGACTCTAGCCGCTCCGATGCCACGCATATAAAGGATTTATAGTGAAAAACTTTGTTTTTACGGGTTAATTTTTTTGTATTTGGATTGTCAGCCAACACCGGCCGCAACCCCGAGTCGACGTGCACCAATTGTTCTATTGTAGCCCCCCCCCCCCCCCACCGTTCCATTCCCTGGCTACCACATTCAGATAAGCCCCCCCCCCTCCCTCTTAACTTTTATTTAAGAGCTTGTTTCTTGGATTTTTCCTCACTTGATACAGTAAATTTAGCTGTGACGGTCCCATCTGATGACGGAATATTGTGTTGCCTCCTAAAAGTCGTGATTTATTATTTTATTTCAATTTTTTAAATATTTGATTAATATTTTTACCTACGTGACTTTACCGAAATAACCTAAGAGTATGAATCCTTGCAGTCACGAAAGCTTCAAATCTAGAATCAGTTGGAGGCAGTCGCCCTCCAGCAACAAAGGAGGGCAGAGGAGCGACGCTCACAACAACGAGCGGAGCGCCGGGCGTTTAAAGTGCAGCGAGTATTCACAGTAGGGGGCACAGTTGTTGCATCGGCCAGCCATCTGTCAGCCAACCCATGGTAGGTGCCTTGGGTTGACTGCCGAATGGCTGTTGTTGTTGTGAGCGTGTGGACACAACGCTGAGCGAACTCAACTTACGTTACCAAGGTGTCAACCCCTCACTGGGCTGCTGTGTAGCTCTTTGCAGAAGCGACCTGCTTGCCACCACCCCTGGTAGAGCCACACACCAAGTCGTGGCTTATGCGGAACATTTATAGCGAGGGAGAAAGCGAGCTCACTCTGGTACAGGGACTCTTCGACTTACGAACGAGTTAGGTTCCAGAGGTTCTGTGTGTAAGTCCAACTTGACTCCTGTCGATCCAAACGTGGTCTACGGCATGTACACCACACACAGAGAATAGCCTTAAAAGTCGTATAATCTCATGTAGACGTAGATTCCATTGGTTCTTCACGTTCTGCAGATGTAGATGCCACTGGTTCTTCACGTTCTGTAGATGTAGATGCAACTGGTTCTTCACGTTCTGTAGATGTAGATGCCACTGGTTCTTCACGTTCTGTAGATGTAGATGTCATTGGTTCTTCACGTTCTGTAGATGTAGATGCCACTGGTTCTTCACGTTCTGTAGATGTAGATGCAACTGGTTCTTCACGTTCTGTAGATGTAGATGCCACTGGTTCTTCACGTTCTGTAGATGTAGATGTCATTGGTTCTTCACGTTCTGTAGATGTAGATGCCACTGGTTCTTCACGTTTTGCAGATGTAGATGCCATTGGTTCTTCACGTTCTGCAGATGTATATGCCACTGGTTCTTCACGTTCTGTAGATGTAGATGCCACTGGTTCTTCACGTTCTGCACATGTAGATGCCACTGGTTCTTCACGTTCTATAGATGTAGATGCCACTGGTTCTTCACGTTCTATAGATGTAGATGCCACTGGTTCTTCACGTTCTGTAGATGTAGATGCCACTGGTTCTTCACGTTCTATAGATGTAGATGCCACTGGTTCTTCACGTTCTATAGATGTAGATGCCACTGGTTCTTCACGTTCTATAGATGTAGATGCCACTGGTTCTTCACGTTCTGTAGATGTAGATGCCACTGGTTCTTCACGTTCTGTAGATGTAGATGCCACTGGTTCTTCACGTTCTATAGATGTAGATGCCACCACTGTCATCTATTGTGCGTGGAGGTTGAACTTACGACTCGTTCCAAACGGGCAACTGGACAAATGGGACAGGTCTTTTAATTATCTCTAAAAGTCCTGAAGTTGAATGTGTATAAGTACAGTAGTGCCCGTACAAACTCGGGTGAATGTTTCCCCGCAGCGGCGTCGCTGCTTCTGACCGGCGATCACGATGAGCTGGGGCTACCTGACGCAGCTGCTGGATGAGGTTCACCGACACTCCACATTCTTGAGCAAGCTGTGGATCACCATCTTCCTCATCTTCCGCATCGTTCTCACGACGGTCGCCGGAGAATCGATCTACTACGATGAGCAGGGCCAGTTCACGTGCAACACGGCGCAGCCCGGCTGCGAGAACGTCTGTTATGACAGCTTCGCACCGCTCTCCCATGTCCGCTTTTGGGTGTTCCAGATCATCGTCGTTGCCACGCCCACCATCCTGTACCTCGGATTCGCTGTACATCGCATCACCAGGTCCGCAGGTCCCCGGAGGGAGTTTTCACAGTGGGGGGGGGGGGGGGGGGGGGGGCTACGGTGGAAATTTGAATGGCTTCTCACAGTTTGAAATTGTTTTAAAAATGTTTAGTATTTGGTTGCACCGTCGATTTGGTCCCCTTGACGCCGCTCTCTGTCGTGGTAGGATCGAGTACGAGCGAGACGAACGAACCAAGCGAACCGGCGGCTCCGACCGCATGGTTGAATGCACGGAGAAAGAGGAGGAGGTGGAAGAGGAGGTGGAATGGGAGGTGGAGGAGGGTGAAGAAGACGGCAAGGAGAAGCGACGGCAAGGCAACGAGCGGTGGAGGATTAAGACTGACGGCCTGATGGTAGCCTACACCCTCCAGCTGCTCGCCCGCACGCTGGCCGAGATTGGCTTCCTGCTGGGGCAATACCTGCTCTACGGCTTTGAGGTGGCCCCACGCTTTCAGTGCGTCCGCGACCCCTGCCCGAATCGTGTCGACTGCTTCGTGTCGCGCCCCACGGAGAAGACCATCTTCCTTTTGGTCATGTACACGGTCGCCGGTCTCAGCCTCCTGCTGGAACTGTCCGAGATTTGCTACTTGGGGTTGGGCGCCCTCCACGACTCGCTGAGCGGGAGGTGCTGGCTGCAGAGCAGGTGGGGGGCCTCGCCAGCTAAGCGGTTGGCCACGGTCGGCTACGCGGATGGAGGGGGGGCGCACCACAAATTAAATATGTAACTAATAAGCTTGTGCCGGAGGCCCCGGGGGGACAGGCGTCTATGACGTCTCCTGGCCAAACCCAAACTGGCGGAGCCAGGAGATTGAATCTTCACCCTTGGAGCTCCTCCAGAAACAACGAAAAACCACTTCGTGTGGCCACGTGGAATGTTCGAACGCTCACTGCGGAGGAGAGGCTGCCACTCCTCTGTCGGGAGCTGGACCGGTACCGCCTGGATCTCTGTGGCATTCAGGAGGTCTGGGGGACTGGTTCTGGCTCCTGCCACCATGAGGGGTGGACAGTCCTCTACTCGGGGCAGGAGACTGCCAAACAACAAGGTGTGGCTCTTCTTCTGAACAAAAGAATGAAAGGGGCGTGGGAGCGGGACGGTGAAGAGTGGGAAGCTGTAAGCCCTAGGCTACATTGGGCTCGCTTTCCCATCAACCGTGGTGGTCGTGGTTACTTATGCCCCCACCGAAGACGAACATCCGTGGAGGGATGCAGGCAAAGCCGATGAGCCAGATGCCTTCTATGACCTCCTGTCACAGGTGCTGGCTAAAGTGGCCACTCGGGACAGAGTCATCTTGTTGGGTGACTTGAATGCCCGAGTTGGTCAGGATACTGGCACCTGGTCTGGAGTGATTGGAGGGCATGGGTCAGATCAGCTCAATAACACTGGTAGGAGGCTGCTAGATTTTTGTGCAGCCCATGGGCTTGTAATTACCAACACGCTCTTCCGGCATTGGCGCATCCACACAACATCATGGATGCATGCCGGGTCCAAGCAAGAACATCTGCTGGACTACATAGTGACGGACCAGCGGATGCGAGCCCATGTCCTTGACACCAGGACCTACTGTGGAGCTGATCTGTCCTCTGACTAGTCATCTGTAAGATGCGCCTGCCATTCTTCCACTCCGGTGGTTGGGTGCACACCCAGGACCCCATTCCAACCTAAAGTGGCCTGGTCTCAGTTAGCTGATGAAAGTTGGCATCGTCCCCCACTCTTTCTGATGTCGAGGGTAAATGGGCGAGGTTTAGGACTGTGACTCATGCAGCTGCAATGGCTGCTTTGGGTAGGCGGTCAAGACCTCCCCAGAGACCCTGGCTGACAGAGGAGGTGTTCAGGATAGTTGAGAAAAATCGACAGGCCCACTCTCATCGGCTACAGCATCCCACGTCAGAGAATGAGGAGGTTTACCGCAGCCTTCGCTCGGAGGTTCGGAGAGCTATAAGGCGCTGCAAGGATGGGTGGTGGTCGCGGGTTGCTGAGGAGATGGAGTCTGCCTCAGTGGCCCGCGATTACAAATCACTATTTAACTCCATCAAAAAATTAACCTGCAGCGCCACACCGATTACCATAATTAGGGGAAAAAACGGTGATCCAATCTCCGACCCCCAGGAACAGGTTTGCAGATTTGCTGAGCATTTATGTAAGGTCCTGGGGGAGGGGAAATCCCTCAGCCAGGAAAACATCATGGCACAAAGTGGGGATGACCCTGCTGATGCTGCGGTGCCTCAAATATTGGAAGAAGTCACCCTCTGTGAGTGACTGGCTGAGGTGCCATCTGTTGAGGAAGTACTGAAGGCGATCTGGAGTCTGAGACCAGAAAAGGCACCGGGCAGAGATGATCTCCCAACCGAAATGCTGAGGGAGGGTGGCGTTTGTGCACAGACTGCCTTATATGACATCATAACAACAACAGTCTGGACCACTGGACGGGTTCCGCAGGATCGGAAGGATGCCCTGGTGGTCCCCCTCTTTAAGAAGGGGGACCGCACAGATTGTAACAACTACAGGGGCATCTCACTCCTCAGTGTGCCTGGAAAGGTCCTGGCAAGGATTATTCAACATCGCCTTGCCAGGCACGCTGAGGAGAGGCTTGCGGAGCCCCAATGCGGTTTCAGGAAAGGGCGGTCCTGCACAGATGCCATATTTTCTGTCCGTCTGCTACAGCAGAGGAGTAGGGAATTCTAACAAGACCTACATCTCTGCTTTATTGAACTGGTCAAGGCCTATGATACCATCAGTTGGCCTGTGCTCTGGGTTCTTCTTCGTGCTTTCGGAGTCCCTGACCCTCTGCTCACGATCATTAAGGACCTTCATGATGGTGAGCGGGCCCAGGTAAAACTACATGGCCGGGAGTCAGAGCCATTCCCTGTACACCTTGGGGTGCCACATGGATGTCCTCTGGCTCCCACATTATTTAACATATATTTTGACCACGTGGTTCGTGAAGCCTTCAGCAGCTGTACCGGGGGAATTTCCATCTGGTACAGATATAATGGGAGGCTGATTGATGCCCGGGTGCGATCAAGGGATGGCTCCCTATTGGTCAACCACGTTATGTATGCCGATGATTTTGTAATAGCTGCTCATTCAGAGGAGGAGTTGGAGATGCTGCTGCTGAGACTGGAGTGTGCATCTAAGAGGTGGGTCCTTACCATCAGCCCCACCAAAACTAAGCACCTGCCTGGGTATTTTGTACCATCAGACACTCCACCCACACAACTCCCAATCGGTGATGGGGCAGTTGTGGAGAAAGTGGAGAGTTACCCATACCTGGGCAGTGTGCTTATGACCGGCTCCAGTTTAACAGCAGAGGTCTCACTCCGAATCAGTCGAGTGGCAATATCTTTTCATCAGTTTCGTAACGCTGTGTGGAAGCTACCTGGTCTGTCGCTCCGCACGAAGCTTCAGTTCTTCTCGGCCACGGTCATTCCGTCCCTTCTCTACGCTTGCGAAACGTGGACCCCCCTAATGGAGCATCTTTGCCAGTTAGAAACATTTAGGCTGGCCTGCTTAGGATCCATCCACTGGTCATGTAGCCCGCATGCCCAGCCACCGCATGCCGAAACAGCTTTTGTTCAGCCGGATCGAGGGGACTAAATGGGCGCGACATGGGCTAGAGAAGAGATGGAGTGATGTGGTACAGGAGGACGTGGAGCTGAGTGGACTTGCCGATGACCGGTACCAGCGGTGTCAAGATCGGCCTCTGCGGAGGAGGCTCGTGAAGGACGCTACTGGGCAGTTGGAGGCAGTCGCCCTCCAACAACAACGGAGGGCGGAGGAGCGACGCTCACAACAACGAGCGGAGCGCCGGGTGGCTAAAGCACAGCAAGTTGGCACAGTAGGGGGCACAGGTGGTGCATCAGCCAGTCATCTCAGTCAGTCGACCCGTGGCACCTGCTGGGTCTGCCCCGTGACCTCCTGCCAGCAGGCGTTCGACACTTCACGTGATCTCAAGGTGCACATGGCCTGGCACAAGCATCGTGGTGATGTCACCGCCACTTAGTGGCGAATGGCGGTTGTTGTTGTATAGTGTTGCCAGGTGTGTAGCAGTGTAGTGTATAGTGTTGCCAGGTATGTGGTAGTGTAGTGTATAGTGTAGTGTGTAGTGTATAGTGTAGTGTATTTGTTTACAGCTATGAGAGTGGTTCCGTCAGCTTCCCAACCGCTATGTATATAGATGTTGTGTATAGTTTATAGTGTATCATGTAGTGTATGTGTTACCAACTATGTATATAGATGTTGTGTATAGTTTATAGTGTAGTGTGATGTGTTCACAGCAATGTATATAGATGTGTGTGTATAGTTTATAGTGTAGTGTATAGTGTAGTGTGATGTGTTCACAGCAATATATATAGATGTGTGTGTGATGTGTTCACAGCAATGTATATAGATGTGTGTGTGTGTGTTCACAGCTATCTATATAGATGTGTGTGTATAGTGTAGTGTATAGTGTATGTGTTCACAGCTGTGTATATAGATGTGTGTGTGTGTGTGTTCACAGCTGTGTATATAGATATGTGTGTGTGTGTGTTCACAGCTGTGTATATAGATGTGTGTATAGTGTAGTGTATAGTGTATGTGTTCACAGCTGTGTATATAGATGTGTGTGTGTGTGTGTTCACAGCTATCTATATAGATGTGTGTGTGTGTGATGTAGGTCCGCGGAGGGCAAACAGGCGGCCCACACGACGCTGGAGGCTTCCAGGGTGAAGGTGGCGGTGGCCCGGGGCAGTCGTCGAGCGTCGCTGGCGCCCCCGGGTTACCACTCGGTGCTGGGGGCCTCCTCTGACGGGAACGGCACCGGGTGAGTTTCGCGAGGAACGCTCACACCGCTCCTCACACATTACGGCGTTGACTATTATTATTATTCATAATCAAGGTTTTTGGGTTTAGATCGCATTATCCACTATACACTACACACTATACACTACACACTATACACTACACTATACACTACACACTATACACTACACACTATACACTACACACTATACACTACACACTATACACTACACACTATACACTACACACTCTACACTACACACTATACACTACACACTATACACTACACTATACACTACACTATACTACACACTATACACTACACACTATACACTACACACTATACACTACACACTATACACTACACTATCCACTATACACTATACACTACACTATACACTACACTATACACTACACTATACACTACACTATACACTACACTACTATACACTACACTATACACTACACTATACACTACACACTATACACTACACACTATACACTAGACACTATACACTAGACACTATACACTACACACTATACACTACACACTATACACTACACTATACACTACACACTATACACTACACACTATACACTACACACTATACACTACACGACACTATACACTACACGACACTATACACTACACACTATACACTACACACTACACTATACACTACACACTATACACTACACACTATACACTACACACTATACACTACACACTATACACTACACTATACACTACACACTATACACTACACACTATACACTACACACTATACACTACACACTATACACTACACGACACTATACACTACACGACACTATACACTACACGACACTATACACTACACGACACTATACACTACACACTATACACTACACACTATACACTACACACTATACACTACACACTATACACGACACTATACACGACACTATACACTACACACTATACACTACACACTATACACTACACTACACACTATACACTACACTACACACTATACACTACACACTATACACTACACACTATACACTACACACTATACACTACACACTATACACTACACTATACACTATACACTACACTACACACTATACACTACACTATACACTACACACTATACACTACACTACACACTATACACTACACACTATACACTATACACTACACACTATACACTACACACTATACACTACACTACACACTATACACTACACTATACACTACACTATACACTACACTATACACTACACACTATACACTACACACTATACACTACACACTATACACTACACTACACACTATACACTATACACTACACACTATACACTACACACTATACACTACACACTATACACTACACACTACACTATACATTGCACTATACACTATACACGCAATATAACCCATACACATCCTCTACCATGGAGCGTGTATATTTATTGTTGTTAATGAAAACACTCCTCTTGAAATTCGACTCGTTTCCAGGGCGGCAGATCCCGGCGAGCCGGCCCCCCCCACGGCAGTTCCCGCAGCAGCAGCGACGATGTCGCCGCGGGAATTGCGTCAGCTCCGTGACGAGTTGCGGGGACTTGAGACGGAGCTGCGGGCGACGCCGAGGCCCCGCCAGGAGCCCCCCGGGCAGAGCGCCGGCGGCGGCACCGGCCGCACGGCTTGGGTTTAGCGCGAGCGAGTGTCACCGTCGCGGCGACCGTCTGTGCTCTTTGTGAAGATCCGAGCGGCGGAGCGCGGGCACCCCGCTCACGCGGCGCACGCGACGGTGTGGGGGGCACGTCGGCACCCAGCCTCGTAGCTCGGGGCATTCGGCTCTGCTGGGTTTGTAACCCCCAGAGTACTGAGAGCAGAGGTCGCAAACGGGGTTTGATTCCTTACCCGATACCCGTACCCGGCCGGGTATCAGGTAGGGTACGGGTACCCGATTGCGACCTCTGAGATGAAGCCATGTTGCAGGCGCGGGTGGGTTGATTCTAGGAACTTGAATTGTGAGAAGAGACAGGACGTTGGAAATGAGTGACAAACGGTGACTCACCAGTGACTCACGGCTTAACCGTATCCGTACCCGGCCGCACCAGGGTCGCAAACGGCTACCCGTGCCCGGCCGGGTACGGGTAGCCGGGTATCGGGTAGGGTACGGGTATCGGGTACCCGGTTGCGACCTCTGATTGAGAGTCCAATCTCCTTAAAACGCGTTTTTTGTGGCATCGTGGCTTTCGCATTGAGCCAACGTATAAATGCACGAATCGGGGGAGATTTTGATTTAAAGAAACCCACATTTTTATGTTTCTTTAGCTAACTTCTTAATTTGCGTGAGTTTCTGTTTTCATTTTTTCGTTAAATTTCCTCACTCCATCGGTGGATCGGAGGGCCTGAGTTTAGCGGGCGCACGTCGTTATTATACCATAACAGCCGGCTCCCATTTATATTGACAAAACAAACGGCATTTAAGATTTTGGCTATGCGGTTTGTGAACAGCTGTGGCCAAATCTGAACATCAGGTGACGCGGTGTTGTATATATTGTTTTTCTGAAAAGTATAAAATGAAATTGGGAAATCATGTTTAGATATCTCGCGGATAAGAAGAGTCACGCGGTATTCTCATCCTCTTGTTGGCGAGGTTATCTGTCATTTTGCTCCTTTTAGCTGGAAGGTAAAGATTCGCAGATGGCCCCACAGATAATAAGATCAGCAGCTCTGTTGGTGTTCCCCCGTGTCACAGCGGATCACAGCAGTTCTGCATGAATTTTGCGCAGTGTTTGAAAGTTAACCTGGTAACATTCTAAAGAGTTTGTGTCGTTGTAGATATCTCATGATGTCATGTAATTCCATCTCAGTGTAATTAACCCAACGTGACAAGTTGCTATGAGATGTTGACTACCTCGCCTGGTCTACAGGAGGTCGTGGGTTCGATCTCTCTCTCATCATCATCACGGTGGCTATGAGATGTTGACCACCTCGCCTGGTCTACAGGGGGTCGTGGGTTCGATCTCTCTCTCTCATCATCATCACAGTGGCTATGAGATGTTGACTACCTCGCCTGGTCTACAGGAGGTCGTGGGTTCGATCTCTCTCTCATCATCATCACAGTGGCTATGAGATGTTGACCACCTCGCCTGGTCTACAGGAGATCATGGGTTCGATCTCTCTCTCATCATCATCACGGTGGCTATGAGATGTTGACTACCTCGCCTGGTCTACAGGAGGTCGTGGGTTAGATCTCTCTCATCATCATCACGGTGGCTATGAGATGTTGACCACCTCGCCTGGTCTACAGGAGGTCGTGGGTTCGATCTCTCATCATCATCACGGTGGCTATGAGATGTTGACTACCTCGCCTGGTCTACAGGAGGTCGTGGGTTCGATCTCTCTCATCATCACGGTGGCTATGAGATGTTGACCACCTCGCCTGGTCTACAGGAGGTCATGGGTTCGATCTCTCATCATCATCATCACGGTGGCTATGAGATGTTGACCACCTCGCCTGGTCTACAGGAGGTCGTGGGTTCGATCTCTCTCTCATCATCATCACGGTGGCTATGAGATGTTGACTACCTCGCCTGGTCTACAGGAGGTTGTGGGTTCGATCTCTCTCATCATCATCACGGTGGCTATGAGATGTTGACCACCTCGCCTGGTCTACAGGAGGTCGTGGGTTCGATCTCTCATCATCATCATCACGGTGGCTATGAGATGTTGACCACCTCGCCTGGTCTACAGGAGGTCGTGGGTTCGATCTCTCTCTCATCATCACCACGGTGGCTATGAGATGTTGACTACCTCGCCTGGTCTACAGGAGGCCGTGGGTTCGATCTCTCTCTCATCATCACGGTGTCTATGAGATGTTGACCACCTCGCCTGGTCTACAGGAGGCCGTGGGTTCGATCTCTCTCTCTCATCATCACGGTGGCTATGAGATGTTGACCACCTCGCCTGGTCTACAGGAGGTCGTGGGTTCGATCTCTCTCTCATCATCATCACGGTGGCTATGAGACGTTGACCACCTCGCCTGGTCTACAGGAGGTCGTGGGTTCGATCTCTCTCCCATCATCACGGTGGCTATGAGATGTTGACTACCTCGCCTGGTCTACAGGAGGTCGTGGGTTCGATCTCTCTCTCATCATCATCACGGTGGCTATGAGATGTTGACCACCTCGCCTGGTCTACAGGAGGTCGTGGGTTCGATCTCTCTCTCATCATCACAGTGGCTATGAGATGTTGACTACCTCGCCTGATCTACAGGACGTCGTGGGTTCGATCTCTCTCTCATCATCATCACGGTGGCTATGAGACGTTGACCACCTCGCCTGGTCTACAGGACGTCGTGGGTTCGATCTCTCTCATCATCATCACGGTGGCTATGAGATGTTGACTCCCTCGCCTGGTCTACAGGAGGTCGTGGGTTCGATCTCTCTCTCATCATCATCACGGTGGCTATGAGACGTTGACTACCTCGCCTGGTCTACAGGAGGTCGTGGGTTCGATCTCTCTCATCATCATCACGGTGGCTATGAGATGTTGACTACCTCGCCTGGTCTACAGGAGGTCGTGGGTTCGATCTCTCTCATCATCACGGTGGCTATGAGATGTTGACCACCTCGCCTGGTCTACAGGACGTCGTGGGTTCGATCTCTCTCATCATCATCACGGTGGCTATGAGACGTTGACTACCTCGCCTGGTATACAGGAGGTCGTGGGTTCGATCTCTTTCTCATCATCATCACGGTGGCTATGAGATGTTGACCACCTCGCCTGGTCTACAGGAGGTCGTGGGTTCGATCTCTCTCTCATCATCATCACGGTGGCTATGAGATGTTGACCACCTCGCCTGGTCTACAGGAGGTCGTGGGTTCGATCTCTCTCTCATCATCATCACGGTGGCTATGAGATGTTGACTACCTCGCCTGGTTTACAGGAGGTCGTGGGTTCGATCTCTCTCTCATCATCATCACGGTGGCTATGAGATGTTGACTACCTCGCCTGGTCTACAGGAGGCCGTGGGTTCGATCTC